AAACCTCAGGGAGAGCAACAGAGGAGGGATCCCTCTCCCAGGACGGACAGACGTGCAATAGATGCCGTGTGTAAATCGAAGAGATAATACATTTTACCAAATGTTTGGAAATGCATGTGTCTATAATAATAATAATAATAATAAGATCACGCATTTTAAAAGGTTTTTTGCCTGCCGTCTGTCTGCAGACTTGTCAAAGCATTAATTCATTGTTTTTACTAACCGGTATCAGTAGTATGTTGTTACTTCGGCATCATTTTGAAACGTGTATTACAATTAAATCACGGTCAAATATGTTCATCTTGTTGTAGTTGTAGCCCCCTTGACAGCGATTCTCTCTCTAGTTTAGCAAACTCAGCCCGACTCAGCCCTGTTTGTTGGCCTCGATAGAACCACAATTTAGTCGGGCCAGAAAAAAGGTGGAAAAGTAGCCCCGGGCCAAAACTAGGCCAAGTGGAAGCGCAACCAAAAACCGGCCCCGCACGGCTCGGCACGCTTAAAGCGAGCTCCGCGCTGCAGTGGAAACGCGCCATTAGTCCTCTTATTCATCTGATTTCCTCTGGTTCAAATGAAATCATCCTCAAGCTTTAATTGTGTAACAGTTGTGTTTGCTGAGTACTGAGTCAATACAATTACTTTTATCCAAAAAAAAACGTTTTCTCCCTTTTGTAAGTTTCAGCAAACAATGAACACGAAGAATTCACGATTGTGACGAGTTCCTGCTGTGAATAACACTTACTTTAATTGCAGGAACAGCAGATTTCAAGCCGGGCTACTGGGTGGGTCTGAAGTACGATGAGCCCATGGGAAAGCATAATGGAACGTAAGAGCGCCATTTTTCTTTTATGTTATGCTCAATATTGATCATGATGTTCTTGATTTTTGCATTTGACCCTAGCTTTCTTTAAATTGCTTTCCCACAGTGTCAATGGCAAGCAATACTTTGAATGCGAGGACAAATATGGAGGATTTGTGAAGCCCCAAAATGTGACGGTGGGAGACTTTCCTGAGGAGGATTTCGGTATCGATGAGATGTAGGACTGTAATGTGTGTTTCTGCCCGGGAATGTGAGTGTCGACCTCAAGCTGTTTCCATTCACCGACCAGAGAGGATACAAAGTCTCATCATAACTAATGCATTTTCTGTTTTTTGTATTTTTACTTTGTGCCTCTCTGTGGGGCATTATCCAAAGCATGGTGTCTAAAGGTCTGTGATGCTCAGATTCTCTCTCACTACACAACATGAATGAGGAGAATGTCAGGTAGTACATCTCCTGGTTTGCTACATATGAGAATGGTACAGGATAATCACACCAACAATGTCTAATAAAGGGGGTTTAGTTGCATGTGTCACAAGGTCAATATGTGGTCATTTACTTCATGCACTTCAGTTTAATTTACTTGCTTTTGCAGTACCTGTTGCTTCCAAATGTTCTGTACATGGGAGTCATCTTGGTAATCTGAAAGCCTCTATTGACAGTTATAAAACCAATTTAATTTCTCTTCAATGATTTTTTGTATCGGTTAGTACAAAGATGATTGTCATAACTGTTTTTGCATTTTTTTTATGACTGTTATATGCTGAAAGTTATCATAGAAACTTAGAGCTTCATGTATACAATGTCTGGGAAGAGATTTTTTAAATGTATAGGAGGATATTTCTCAATAAACAACTCCTAAATTCCTTATATTTCTTTTATGATTTGTATATAATCTGATTAAACTCATTTTAAGGTTTCCAAGTGGATACAATATGTAAATCCCAGTTATATTTCTCGGACTGAATACCTCTTGCCAAAAAATGAAAATGTATGCAACTGAATGTGTCCTGCTCTTATTGAACCACTGAAATAAAACCGTATTTTAAGTTTAAATTGTGGGGCTCCAAATGTGAAAGATTACCAAACAGTTTTCTACGTTAAACTAAACTATGAAGTATACAAATGGATGACAAAATCTAAGAATAAATGGTAATAAAAACTATATTTTCAAGTCCCCAGATATGTCTCAGAAAACAATCAGAACTGTGACATTTATATTCGAATTAACTATTTATTTAAATTGAAGTCAAACCTAACAATGTTTTTTTGTAATTGATGTAGTTCCATATAAGTCTGACACATTGATTTTCATTCAGTTTGAGTACAATCTTTAGCACTTTCTTTTCATGTCCTTTAAAACAGTGTTTTGTTTGGATTGGTGGTTTAAGTGATTTACATTTAGAAGCAAACCTGTGTTTCCCATCTATAAGTATAAATATACTTACAGATGGGAAAATGATATGTATTTATAAGTCATATTTAAAAAAAATAAGGTAACAGTAACAACTATCACTCTCAATATAACTCATTCTCCATTGTAATCCCAACACAGCTCTGAAAAAGGAATAATATGCCTTATTTATGCTTTGTTTTTATTTGACTGTTCCAATACTGTTAACATATTTGTCATCCTCTCTAGTTTACAGAAGAAATGTTTATTTATTTTTTCAGAAGATATGTGATTACCACTTATACAGAAATGTAGTGTTCTTTTTTCTCTCTAAAATAATCTCTAAGGTGCTTGTGATACTATGTGCCAAAGGGTAATGCATATTAATAAAAATGATTTGCCAGTACAAAGGTATCAGATTGAGTCAACTTGTCTGCACATGCAGTATGACACAACAAAACTGAACTATTAACCCACTATATAACTTGTTTTGCTCAATAAGAACAAGTGCTTTTGTTAAATATAACAAAAAACACACTGCCTACACATTACATTCAAGACAACCGAACAGGGTGCCATTCAGAAAGTACGTAGTGTGCAGAATATTCTGTATTATACAAGTTGTATCATCCGAGTATATTTAAATATCAAAACATACACTTCTCATGCAGAAAGGCCATTGTCTAAATCTTTTTTAAATTATATTACTGAGGATTTCACATGTAATTGGTTGAGGTTGTTTACTTTATATAGTTTGTTTTAACATACAGTGACATGAAAACAGTAAGGTTGGGTTTGTATTTTGCAAATGTTCTGCCACAAATATAGTGTTTTGCTAATCCAATAAGATTTATAGACAGAAAGATCGTTATACAAATTAATGGATGGTTAAATAAAAATCAAACATGAACAAATCAAAAATAAATACAAAACAAATTAAATTCCTTATAAACTGCTGCAGTCATTACAATTAACACGTTTTTGCAGTATTTTTAGTGTGTCTATGTAGGTTTTTATGCACTTTCATTCATTGTTGCCCTTCATTCAAAAATCAAAACATTATATAAAAGTATTAGTATAGTATATAGGTACATATACAGAGTGAAAACATGAATTAAAGAAATATAAAGAAAATAGTCATAAAAACAAAAGGTAACATTTCGCTTGGATTTTATGTAGTTCCTTTACTTCCCTGAAGACGAACGCCAGAGCGATGACGCTACATACTGTCCTATCGCGAGAAGCAGCGCATTTTCCCATACAGCAGCAGTGTGGTGTGTTCGCGATAGAGACAAGGGAAGATGGCGACGCAGGAGAGCGAAGCAGCTCAAGAAATCGTCAGCAACGGCGAGGTAAAAAAATGAATGACACACTTAGTACCTTATTATCTATTTTTCGTCCAGGAGAAAGGGCAGTTTTTATGTGTTTGACAGTGGAGTGGGGGACCGTTAACATTTAAACCTCTTGCCGATCGGTACACGAGTGACGTTGTCAGTGCCGGTTGGTTTTAAAACGACCCCCTCCTGCCGTTCACCGAGACATCCTGCCTGTTTGCGGATAAATCCTGCCGGTCAGCGGAGTGAGAGCCGAGTTGTTAACGGGGAAATATCACCCGAAGACATACAATTACATAAAAGTGACAAGTTAATTAGTTGACTCCATGTGTGTCGGTGTGAGGCTGCTGCAGTGTCAGTTAGCTATCACAAGGCCTGAAGCTTAACAACGCAGCTCGGCTTCTCCTGCCAGGCCGGTCTCAAGCAGCTCACACATCTCTAATTCACGGCGAGCCACCTGCTTCTCCATCTACACATATTACATGGAAACCTTAAAGCTCCATGTTCATTTGGGATGCCACACGGCAAAGCTTTATCTGCCATTTCATCTTGGTAACATTGACAAGAATCAAGTGCAATCGTCGAATTTATTTGGCTAACCCTGGGAAAATGCTCATACATTTGTTAAATAACAGTTGTTGGTGTTAATTGGGACGGCATCTCCATCTAGCAATTATTTCCGGATTGACAAATGTCACAAGTTACCAGAGGTCATAGTGAATCATCACTTTCCAGAGGCAGACCACGGGTCTGTCTTGTCTTGCCTTTTAATTTGAAGTCTGTCACATTATTAACATTTCTAGTGATACAACATATTGACATGATCAGGAGAGAAGATCAGGTAAATATTATGCGTTTTAATCTATTAAGCACAGGACAGACCTGTCATTTGATTTTTTGTATCATTTGATTTATGATTTACCAATGTGTCTTTAAAGAATTTGGTTAAACTTGTTGGTTTTGGTCTTTTTAAGGTTTAGCTTTTCAATCTAGAATCTAGGTTGTGTTTTTTTGTACCAGGTCATGCCTCTTATTTACACTACATTGCAAAGCAGATAAATCAATGATAAATCTCATACAAATTAAAGATGGCAGCAAAACCTAGAATTAGGTTAAATAAAGACATATAGGCCTACAGCTTTTGGCGTATTGTCTCTTCTTGTAATGAAATTGCAATGTCAGGATAAATGCATTATTAGTTTACGATGAAGCCATTATGTTCCTCTTGAGGCCCGCTACTGGCGAGTCAGTTGAGAGAAATGTCTGGTATTAATCTAGTGGGAAAAAAATGAATCTACTTAGTTATTTTTATATTCTCAGTTTTGATTTAATAAATCTACTGGGTACAGGTGAAACTTTATTGCGGTGAGCAAAAGACACATGATAAAATCAGTGTTTTCATCTCTAAGATATCATCCATTTGAATTTCCCTTTTACACTAGTCTGATGTGGAAAGACCATCTTAAAAGTTTGAAAATGAGCATTGCAGCCCAGATAAAATTAATTGTAGCCTTTATAAACTGATACGCATGCATCCAATATGACTTTAATATGCTTGTTGATATGCCCTTATGATGCATTCTAGCTTGCTTCCTGCTGTAGGAGATAGTGTCACCATGTGTGATAAACATTACCAAAGGAATCTCGGCTTCTGTCAAAGACTGACTTATCTGAACTTTTGGCCCTCTTCCTTCCAGACAGGTGTGAAGCATTTGCTCTGCACCTTGAGCAGGTGGTTAATTGTTAATCCTTGCTCAGTGTGTAATATTGTAAATTATTATCTCGAGCTGGAACAGATACCCCTGTTTCTCGTGTTGAGCATATGAATGACCTGTGTGCTTAACGGTTATTACGTTGATCCCTCTAGTCTAGGAGACAGAGACATACATGTCTCTGCTAATATAATTTGTGTCGTTTAAACGAAACAGGACAAGGCAAGGAAGCATGAAAAGCTCTATTTTGAGCCACTGGATGTCCTTGAAATTCAGTTTGTGATGGTCCTGGGTTAGTGGCTTATCAGAAAACCTAAACCTTTACAAGGTTCAATCAGTTATCTTTGGCCTTCTCGGCACCTCAATAACCTGCTGAGCGGAAAATACTGTTGTTTCTGGAGGCTAACTTCTGGTCTCCCTTGTGTTCATAACAATGGGGGAGATTAGATGTTTAGATAGGGAAAGAGTCTCCTGACTTGGATTGTGTATTGTGTCACTTGAATACAATGTGGCCTTGCTGCATGGGCGTTGGGCCATATTGACATGCTAAAGCAAACCTTTGACAAATTTGACTGATTTCAATAAAATAGTAGAATAGCTTCAGTGTTTCCCCTAGGATGGAGTCATAGCAGCGGTGCTAAGGTTTAGCAAAATGTGAGTGCGAAGCGCGTGGAATTTTTTAGTACGTGCGAAGTGCACCCCGCCAATATGTTGTCTGCCAGCACAAGAAAGGCTCTTGAGGCCTAGTACATACACTGGCAATGTCTCAAGATTGAGCAAAATACACCTTTATTGAACATACAGTAACACAAATACAACAAATCCACATAACAATCAAAAATGGTCACCACTTATTATTTTATTTTTGGTACCTGGCTGGCGCCCCCTAGTGGCAACACACATATTTCAGCGCCACTGCTATTTGTATATAGGGGAAACACTGCTTGTTTTCTCTGACCAGATCTGTATAAAAGCAAATGTATTTAACTTACATCAGATAAACCGCAATTCATCGTATTCGAGTAGCTGGAGTGAGAGAATATTTGGCAATTTTCAGTTATTCAAATTGTTCTGTCAAGTCTGATATAATGTGTATCATCGTATATCTAAACCTTTGTTTCTTAAAGATGCACAAAATACATCCAGTTTCGCCAGTAAATTGAGGCTTATCTTTCCCCTATTGTTGATATTCTTTTGTTTTATCACCACGTTCACCCACATTCACTCCTTTGTATTGCCAGTGAAGATTTTCTTGTTCGATATTGTACTTGATCATGGAATGTCAATGCCCCGTCATCGTTGGGATTTCTTTGGGTACACTGACCGTGTGTCTGTATGGTTGTAGGTGAGCAGCAATGGGACCGTTGCAACGACAGATGGCGAGGCTGTGCAGACGGCTGAAACTGCACAGGATCCTCAGGAGCAGCAGCCACCGCAACAACCACCTAATGCATGGCAGGTCATTAAAGGAGTCCTCTTCAGGTGAGTGTCCCTTTTTGTCTTTTGATATGGCAGACTCACCCTTCCATCAGATCCCCTCCTACAGATATAACTTTACATGTGGTGTCTAAATTCATATAAAATCTGGGTGCTACTTAGCTAAAGTCCACTATGCCTCAGATCTCTGTGCAGAGGTTTAAGTCTGTCGCTTGCCTTTACCCATATTGGCTCTATTACAAAATGGTCGTCTCGTCTTTTTCTGTGCAAATTGCAGCATAGATAAACCAGACTATTGTTTCAGTAGTAAAACATCATCGCTTTATTTCACAGTTAATGATCTGATGCACTTGTCTAATCTCTGCAGTGGAAGATCTCTGTAGTTGTAGACTGCTGTAGTTTTCAGAATACATTAATATCTAGGGCTATCGTTTGTATAACCAAACATACAAAATCCCCAGCAAGAAGTAAGGGCTATTTTGTGCTGCATTAGTCATGCAAAGCTCAGCGTGTGTGGAGCTGGTACCAGTGTAGTAGTTTTCTTAGCAACTAGTTTGAATAAAACCTCTACGTTTGGTTTCCCCGGCCTCAGGCAAGCGGCTGCTTTGCCTGCCGACCAGCAGACCTTGAAGGGAAATAACAAGTCCCCTTATTAGATGCAAATATTTGATTGAATTAACCATATGAATTGCGTATATTGACAAAAGACTTTAAAACCCATTTATTATTATGATCTGGGAATGTATCACTTTTTATAAGTAAACATTACTGTTCAGAAATTACCATCATTGCCATATGATTAGACAGTTCAACTAAAGTTCACACAATTCTCGACAGAAAATAAAATTGCTTCAAACTATCACATATAAAACATACCTATGCAAAAGTGTTAACGAATGATTCGTTGAGATTTGTCAGTTTGCCTGGCGGTGATTGAATTTAGCTTTTAACATCCGTCACAAAGTTTAAAAAAAAAAAAAAGTTGTAGCTTTGGCTACAGAGGACAGAAATGTGTTAAAACGGCAAAAATCTGCTTTTAGATAATTTTGAGTCTTTGGACTAAATAAAGCCAAACTGAGATCTTGACCGAAGTTGCTTTCCTCTACACTGAGCAACAGCCTATAAGTAAAAAATAAACAAAAAAAAGACATGTGAAAAATAATATCAGATAGAAAATGCAACATTGTATGTCTTCCTTCTAAATGTGTTTCTTTAAAGGTCACTTATTAATTCTGTAAGAAAAGGCGCCTCTCTTGGGGTGTATTCACACATAACGGCCCCTACACACGGCGGCGTGCGTTGCCGCTTCAACGCTTCTTCCCATTCACTTTGAATGGGGTGACGTCACGATTCGCCAAACTGCATTGTGGGAGCAAAGCGTAGAGCAATGTTCTACTTTTGACGCCTCGACGGAAGCGTTAGCCAATCGAATCATATGCCAGTGCAAGCTCTAGCCAATCAAACCACGTGCTTGTGTGTCTGGGGTGGGAGATTCATGTGATTGGTTGTTGGTCGAGTTTCAGCCCCCCCCGCCGGCAAGCGACAACGCACGCCGCCGTGTGTAGGGGCCGTAACTAAAGATTTTGAAGATATCCACGTTCTTGTGACACGTAAATACTACGCTTTCTATGTTTTGGTGCGGACTGCGTTCACACCGACCTAAACGCACCAGGGATCGATTCAACCGGCAGGTGAGAACGCAACCTTAAAAACTCAAAGTTAGTTTAATTAGATTAGCTACCTTTTTAATTTTGCCTTCCTGCAGCAGCTCTTCATGGATCAAGAGGAAAGGTCTTAAAACAATATTTTGTTCTCAAAGTAATTTATGATAAGGCACCCAGTAAAATGTACAAACACATTTAAAAGGAAACATTGCCAATTTTCAACCCACGATTGTTATCTTTTTTTTTTTTTTCCTATTTACCAAGTCTTATTTTCCTGACTTTTTTTTTCAATTCAGAATCTTCATAATCTGGGCGATCAGCAGCTGGTTCCGTCGAGGGCCGTCCACTCCTGACCCCAGCACTCCAGGCGGGGCCCCCAGCGTACCGAGCAGGAACCTGTTCCCCAAAGAAACCCTCATGGTATTAAACCCTCCTCTCTGTCCATATCCTCTATCTGCATGGCAACCTGTTCTTAATTGAATTGAGGGTGTTCATTCTTAAACATCCCTCACACTCTGATCCCCTGAAGAGTTTTACAGCAGCCCAGTGTTATCGCTTCTTTCAGAACAACTCACAAGCCAACCCCCGTCTCTGATATATCATAAACACCTTTTTATTTTCTCACCATCCCTACAGGACCTGTATGTGTACTTGTCCCCAGATGAGGTGTTCACTGACTTCAACAACACAGAAGCCCTGTTCTGGTTCCACAGGGATCTGGTCTATGGAGACTGGAACATCGGGGAGAACGGGGACGGCTGTTACGAGCAATATAAGGATATGGAAATCCCAGAGGTGAGGAGGAAGGGGAGGGGCTATATGAGAGATATGCAGCTGGGGAAAGAGGTGACCGACAGGGAACAGTTAGTTCAGTAAATGAGGTGGACGGTCAAGCACACACAGCATAGTTAGCAAATAACTTAACAGAATGATTGAATCTAAAACACTTCTTCCTGTTTGGTGTGTTTTTGCAGTTTTTAATGCAGAATGGTTCCATATACATGCACGTCTACTTCACTAAAACTGGATTCCACCCAGACCCCAAACGCAAGGGGCAGTATCGCAGACTGGCAACAGTTCATTCATCACGAAGTAAGCACTTGTAGAAAACGCATACATTGGAAACTTAAATGAAATGTTCGATCATTTATAAGTGTTAACCCTTACTGTTTACTATTTCAGTGCTGAATAAATTTAAGCGAAGAAAGTTTATGAAGACCAAGAATCTGCTAACGGGAGAGACGGAAGCGGATCCTGAAGTGATCAAGGTACATAGTTTAATTTGACTTATTAGTTGTTGTCTGTCATGTAATGCTAGACTGCTAAATTGACCGCTATATCACAGACATTAGGTGATTGGTAGAATATGAATGATTTGACTTTGTGTTGTTCCTATTATGAATAGAAATGGAATTGTTTGTTCACTAAATACATTAATTTCCATGCAAATTATTACATAGTCTGTATCACACTTTCTCAGCCTCTATCTACAGTTACAGTAAACATCAACAAACACACATCAGCAATACATTCCAGCTTGTTCCTTCAGTACAGCTATACAAAAAATAGAATGAATCAGGGTCAAATCAATATTGACAGATGTCAAATATTAAAACAAATGTGTTTCCTCCCAGCGGGCGGAGAGCCATGGTCCCGTGGAGATTATCTCTCACTGGCACCCCAACCTCACCATCAACATGGTGGACGACCACACCGCCTGGGTCAAGGGTTCTGTTCCCCCTCCTCTAGATCAGCGTAAGTTCCTTCCACTGAAACGCTTGCCTTTTATGCACATTGGCTACATTTGAAAAGGTCACAACTACAAAAGCTGTTTCATCTGGTTTGCAAAGAAGTTATTTTTGTTTCATCAAGCCTGACTTTTGAATGCTCTGTTCTTCTTCGACTAGATGTCAAGTTTGATGCTGTCAGTGGCGACTACTATCCCATCGTGTACTTCAATGACTACTGGAACCTTCAGAAGGACTACTACCCCATCAACGACACCCTGACGACCCTCCCACTGCGCCTCGCCTACTGCCCACTGTCCTTGTGGCGTTGGCAGCTGTACGCCGCCCAAAATGCACGATCCCCGTGGAACTTCCTACCAGACGACACCTACGAGCAGTCGGATGAAGACCAAGACTCTGTCAAGGTGAGAAAACGAATTGCATTAGACTTAATGTGGTGACGTGGAATTAGTTATTTAATGCAGATTTGCTTTTAGGCACCTTAAGGTTGAGTTGCAAAATACATTGGAGAAATAACTGATAGGGTATTATAAAATGAAACCTGAGCTGTATGCTGTATCATTATGCGATTTTCCCATTTTATTGGAATGATTTTCTTTGTTACAACTTTATTGTCTAGATGTGTGGTTTGAGCACAAAGTAGCCAGTATTTTCAGATTCTAAACATTATTTCTTTTTTTTTTATAGACGGCCCTTTTGGAAACCAACCCTTACCTGCTGGGAATCACCATAGTTGTCTCCATTGTGCACAGCATCTTTGAGTTCCTTGCCTTCAAGAATGGTAAGTTCCCAACAGCCTGTCTCCATTGAGCACTTCACACTTAGTTTGTCTTCCCCTCACCACCATCTCCTCTTCAGATATCCAGTTCTGGAACAGCCGACAGTCTCTCGAAGGCCTCTCAGTGCGCTCCATCATATTTGGAGTCTTTCAGTCTGGGGTTGTGCTGCTGTACATCCTGGACAACGAAACTAACTTCGTGGTGCAGGTCAGCGTCTTCATCGGCCTTCTTATTGACCTGTGGAAGATCACCAAGGTCATGGACGTCAAAGTAAGTCGGAGCAACACTTGTTTTTTACCATACATAAGTTTGTTGGTTTAACTGTATAAAAAGGTAACTTTATTGCATTTAAATGATCACATTTCTATATCAGTGGTCAAGTTGTGTACTTGCATTAATCCCAAAACCATTGAATGTGTGTATTTTTCCAACTGCAATTCCGCACGCGGTGTATCTGTACATAACTGCTTCTTGTTGTGCCCTCATAACTATATTCCAGTAACCATCTGTGTTTATCTTTCTCCAGTTGGACAGAGAGAACAAAATTTTGGGGCTGATTCCAAGATTGCAATTCAACGACAAGTCAACATATGTGAAGTCTTCAACCAAAATCTTCGACGACGTAAGTTTAACCAAGACTGCACTCTTCACATTGGTCACATTCAGAGGACCCTGCTTTCAAAACGACATTTAGGGGACAATATGTAAATCACATATGAGGCACCTGTTATTTGAGCAAAAGGGCAAGGCTAAATGCTCACGTCTCTGTTGGGGTTGATCAAATGTCATAAGCATGTCTTGTTTAAAATAACACTAATTGATTTGCTTTTGTAAGTCAATTTCTTATAACCCTGTCTGACCGCCCACTTTTCTCTTGTGAACAGATGGCCTTCAGGTACCTGTCGTGGCTGCTCTACCCTATCTTCGGTTGCTATGCGGTCTACAGTATATTGTACGTAGAGCACAAAGGCTGGTACTCCTGGGTACTCAGCATGCTCTATGGCTTCTTGTTAACCTTTGGTAAGTCAAATATATAAGAATGAAAACTATCACATGCATCTGCAATTTACCGGTTTATGTATTAGTATATATATATATATATATATATATATATATATGTATTAGTATATATATATATATATATATATATGAAATGAGGCTGGGAACACTCTTTTATACGGCATGTTATTACCTCAATTCAAATATTGGATCTCTTTAAAGCTTTTAACAGAAAATGAATCCTAACAATATAGAAGTTAAAAATGAGTTTTTGCAGATGGCTATCAGTGGTTGCCTAAAATGTGTTTTGAAAATATATGATGGGTAGATGATGTATAGGATTAAATCTTTTTTTTACAGATTTTGTTAACATGGATTTGATAAAGCAGCACACAAACACTATTTTTAGTAGTAAATGCACCAGGAAAATTCAACATATTTTCTTGTATATGTATTAACCCTCCCTCTGAAATAATGTTTATATTTAGTCTCTTAATGTATAATTGATTTTACCCTGATATATTCTCCTGTCCATCTACATCATATTTAAAGGCCAGAGATGTGGCTGATTATATAATTGTCTCACTTAATTATCCTGTCTCTAAGTGGATGTTTTCACACTTGCATCATGGTTACATATCCAACTCCCAATAGCCTCTGCTAGTGCACTGTGTATTAATAGACTCCGTCATGTCGCCTGTTGTCTAATAAATTGCCTCTGGTGTAAAAATGTTTCTAACCAGTGCTTCCTCTCTCTCTCTCTCTCTCTCTCTCTCTGTTCTGGGTGTTAGGTTTCATTACAATGACGCCGCAGTTATTCATCAACTACAAGATGAAGTCTGTGGCCCACCTCCCATGGAGGATGCTCACCTACAAGGCTCTCAACACCTTCATCGATGACTTGTTTGCCTTCGTCATCAAGATGCCCATGATGTACAGGATAGGATGCCTCAGAGATGGTTTGTACTCGCTGATCTACATGTATTTTACTAGATTAAAAAAGGTTGAACAAATGTATGAGTTTATACAATTTAACATTTTATATTCTAGTTATAAGTTACCTACCTCCCATAAAATGTGAACTCTGCATTAGTGCAGCTTGCTCATGAGCATTATACACATTTTTGCTAGGGCTGTCAGTCAATTAAAATATTTAATCGCATGATTGTCGATAGTGAATCGCACATTTTTTGTCTGTTCTAAATGTACCTTAAAGGGATATTTTTCAAGTTTTTAATACTCTTATCAACATATGAGTGGACAAATATGCTTTATGCAAATGTTTGTTTATTATCATTTGAACAATGACAAATATTCTCATGAATATTAAACACAACAACCTCTGAACATTACAAATATTTGCCTCAATTCAACCTGGAACCTCTCTCATACCAATACTGTGTGTGTGTGTGTGTGTGTGTGTGTGTGTGGAGAGACACACACTGTGTTGGAGCTTTGTGTAACTCAAGGCATATGCTCGAACGGGAGCTGCCTGGACGCTGCAATCATGTTGCGCGCACTATCCGTGCTGAGTGTGCTGACTTTTCGTACAATGTCCCACTGTCTGGCTACCTGCATAAAGTCAAGTGCTCGGCGCAGTTGTTGGCGAAATGTCGCTCCTCTGTTTTAAAACAGCTCCTTATATCCGTTAGCGCACCTAGCTAGCGCCAGATGCTAACAATACACATAAGGTGTGCGCGTTCTCTCTCTCTCGCTCGCTCGCGACACACATACACACACCCCAGAGTTCCCGTTAGAATTTTTTTTCCGCCGGTCAACATGTCCGTTAAAGTTTAAATCTTCCGGACAAAATTTGCGTTCATTTTTTTTTTGCGTTAATAACGCGTTAACTTGAAAGTCCTAATTTTTACACAATTACTGCAACACTGCCAACTGCCATCCTTCTTCACAAGATGAACAGCCTGGTTATTACCACTACAAATCAAACTTGTGAACACTAAAACAGTGAGGGTTTTTATTAGAAAATTGACAAAGAATTGATTTAATCTCTACAGCTCTAGCCTGGGAATGACACATTTAGCCTTTTCTGGCTAACTTTGGCATATTTCCAGCTATAGAATTAAAATACAATGTCTCCGTCACATAAAGCAATAAATTAAAGTTTGATTTTGACTTAAGGACTACATTTACCCCTTACAACTAAGTAGATGTTTTACTTGATGACATATTGTTAATGAGGGAATAGTTTCTTGAAAGTATACTTTTTTGGACAAAACCTGTGTTTCCTCTCCTGCAGATGTGGTGTTCTTCATCTATCTTTACCAGCGCTGGATCTACCGGGTTGATCCCAACAGGTTCAACGAGTTTGGCACCAGCGGAGTGAAGCGTAAGCCGGGCGACCCGATAGAGACGGACCCCCTGGCAATGATGGACGCCACAGATGACCCGGCAGTGACGGACGACCCGGCAGTGACGGACGACCCGGCAGTGACGGACGACCCGGCAGTGACGGACGCCGCTCCCGTCGCCGCCGTCACAGACAAACCAGATGGGGAGAAGAAGAACGATTAAGCAAGACACCGCCATTATTTACCTCCCTTACCCTCAGTGCTGGGGCGAAGAGGACTTGAAATGTAGGCAGGAAGTGGATTTTTCGTTCAGTAGTTATGGACACCACTACAAAAAAAAATGCAGTTCAACTGTTCCCTGTGATTTCTGTGTGCATCCACAGAGAAATCATATTCAGTGTAAACTTAAATTCTTATTTCTGTTCCCCGCCCTCTCGTTTTGCAGTTCCAGTGAAGTAAAACCAAACGTGATGTACTGTATTCTGTTTGATTTTTCAGAGGTAACAATGTCTTGGAGTAGAGGTTTGGAAGGGAACTGGTTGCAGTCATACTACATTTTTTTTTTTTTATACGAGTGGAAAAGAGGCCCCGGGCAGCTTTTTTTTTTTTGGTGTAGATTCCTTGTGAATTTTTCTTTTCATTCCATGTGAGCACCGTGTTCAGATGCCTGTAAACTGGTTAGTGGTGCTGGAGGAAACTGGAAAGATCCTGAGCCACGAAGAAGTTACGAAAAGAGGAGGTGGTGACTGGAAACAAGATGGACGACCCTACAGGACACTACCCAGACAGTGACTACTACCCTCAATTTTAAACAAATGTTTAATGTTCTGAGCTGAACATAAAAAATAACAGCCTTGTTGGTATTAATATAAATATATTAATATTGTCAATGACTTGATTTTTGTTTTTTAGTCACTGAAACATTCTTTTGTATCTCCTCAAACTGTACAGAGTCTCAGCTTGTCATGTTATTAATGCCTATGTCAAATCTGTCTAACAATAGCTAATTTACAAGTCTAATTTTAATTTCAACCCTCGGCTGAACGTCTGATTTCCAAATTGTTTCACGTTCACATTTCGAACCATCACCTAGACGGACACGGTGGAGAGTGTCAGGTGTGGCTGGAAGAATTACAGTGTCTCTTGTTTTAATTTTGAGTGCTGTAAGTCCTGAAAGAAAGAGGGTTCCATGTTGGTACATTTTGATTCATTCATGTTTATAGTAAAATTCAAGTGTGATTTAAAATGTCTATGCAATGCTTTCTTGATGTTTCTATTACAAATGTTTACCTTTCACGGTTCAAGAATGATATTTTTGCCTGAAACTTAGTTCATCATTTCTATTGATGTTACAGGAACTAGTTTGTGTGTGCTTGTGAAGCATGCATATATAGTGAGGTCTTTGCTCGTTCTCCCTGAAAGGTTTTAAAACTCATGAAAATGTTCAAAATCATATCAATTATTTTCACTCATGAGTTTTTCTTTTGTCATAAAACTGAATAATAGCATCATAATTTCATCCAAAGGTCAAAAGGTGATGACTTAAAATTTGTTTTAAAGATTACATTTACAAGAAATAAAAATAACAAACAAAACTTTCAATCACAGGATTAAAACCCTGTTTTGCTTGGAAAAGTGACTCAAATAATTAATTATGGAAAAAGTCTTGCAGATCTTCAGTCTTAAATAGTTAATTGCAATTATTAAATGTACAAGGCATAGTCAGTCCTCTTCACTGTGTGTCTGTGGAAAGGCAGGATGGAGTATCTATGGCACAAAATATTAAATGTTCTAGATATGTTTGCAATGCAACACAGTGACTTTTTGGAAGTCTAACTTGTAACAGTCAATTGAATCCTCGGACAGGGCTGATGAACCTGGTTTGAACATGGTTGTCCACGTATTTCTAATAACACAGTGGGGCCTATTTAGTTAAAAAAGTAAAATCTACCAGGTCATAAACGCATGTTTAAGAGTGTTACACCTAATTGAACTATCTGCAGAAACGGTGTGTTGTCCTCACTTGACCTTGACTTAAATAGTCCCAAATAGGTTATATCCTAACATATATTCCGAATAAAAAATATATATTTGTGTGGTCTATTTTAACAGGTGAATGATCTGCCAGGTTGAAAACTCCTTTTTCTGTAACACCCTCTAGCAGAGAAAAGCCGATTTATTTGTATTTGTTTTTCTTTGTCCCTGCTGAGTCACTGCTTCCTCTAAACGCTTCAACTTTCGCTTTCCATTTCCATTAAACCGCCTGTCCTCTGTGTCAGCAGCAGGTGTCACCGTTGCGCTGCACAACCTTGAGCAAATGGTCTTTTATTTAGCAAAAAGTTGATAGTTCAAATATAAGCAGTAACACGTCACTGTATTTAGGGCAGTAACTAAACGTGGAGACATTTTATTGGGGAAGTTTGATCTGTTAATATTCATGAAAAAAATAGAAATTCCCACCACTCCATCAGTTTCTCGGAAACAGGAGCAGCAGCAGGATAGTGGCATGATGCAACCAGGATAACAATCGTGTGTGTGTGTGTGTGCGCGCGCGCGTGCGTGCGGCATTGAACTATTTGCAAATTATGCATGCAGTGACGTTCGATAATGCGAAAACTTTATGTAAAAATCTAAAACAACACCTTTTGTGGGTTTTGAATAGTGACATAAGTACTACCCATGAATCTTATTAAAGCTGCAGTACGGCACCTGCAGTCTTAATAAAGCTGCTTTTCGGCACCTGGTGTGTTTGCGGGGGTTTTCCTGTGGGAGGTGACGTGTGACGTTCAGGGGGTTTCCGACCCCAAGCAGCCAATCAGCGAAGCTGCTGCGGAACCACTGAAGTGAAGTGAACTGCTTTTCAACATCTTCAACACATGTCAAACTGCCTGTCACCAGTCGGTACACACGCTTAGAGCTAGAGCTACCCTTGTTTACCGGAGCTGTTTATTCAAAGTTTCACCGCAGAGACTAATACCGAAAATATTCCGGTTTGGAAATAACTACAAGGACACGACGGTGGAGTTCATGGTCCTTAAGGACAACTCACATGCGATGAAAGGCATGGACATCTTCAACGGCACAGGTTTCAGTCTTAATCTTGACGTTTGTGTTTATGTGTATGTGTGTTTGTGTGGGAGAGGGTTGACATCACCGGCACCGGCAGGCATGTGATTTGTCAGAGCAGAGCAGCCAACACCCATTCCCGGGAACAAACACTCCCACCCGGCTCTCTCTGTTGGCTCCACTTACTCCTGGATAACATTTAACAGGTTTTATTCAGATGATTTCTGTTTGCAGTGCTAAGTACACAGCCTGCTCGAGTTTACTTAAGTAAAACCTTGAGGTAGTCAACTTGATTTTTACATAAAGTAATTCCATTTGATCCTACTTAATACTTCTCTATTGCTTCCTTACAGAGGAATATAGCAATTTCTCTTTGACAATTTCAATTTCTTGAAGCCAATCACAAAATCACCTGATCGATTGTGATATATTTGTATGTTGAGATGCCCAGCAGTAGCCCATATAAAGTAGTTGAGTTTAACCTTCCCCAGCTGCAACTTTAAAGTGATGTACTCATGAATACACCAATGATTATAATAACCCAGTGATATGATATTCATTATTCTGAAGTTGGACATAACTATCAAGTATATTTTGATTACTTTGATCTTTTTCTTAAGTAACATATCTGAGTGGTAGTACTTATTACAACTCTGTCTGTGTCTCCTGCAGAGCCGCGAGGACCATCAGACTTTGGTAAGTTTATTTTATCTTTTGCCCAAAACGCATAGTAAACCCCACATGTGTTTTTTGTGTTATTGCAACCTCATGGAGAAAGGAGAAGTCAGGTCATCTTTAGCTGGCCTATTTCTGCTTCCTCATAGCACTTTGAGAACTTGACACATTTGCAGCACATGTTTAATTTGCTCTGACAGATGCATTTGTGATTTGTTAATGTGACATCAGGCTAGTGAGGAGGCCCAGTGGAAACATAATAATAAACAAGACCAAATAACAGCAAGCTAAACAGCATTATTAAACATTGTTCTATTTATGTTTGAAATTGTTTGCATTTAAGCCTGCAACTTATTTTAAGAATTCATAAATCTACCTATTATTTTTGTAATGTAGGACTACTAGTATTTTAATTTGTTTTTATTGTCAAAAAAAATCATAATCTCTGCTGTGGTACTATTGTGACCATCTTAGCTGCAGGAAACTAGTTTCTGTGTGAGTGTGGAGCCCCTGACATCTTACACCTCAACCGCAGGTGGAAATCAGTGTGCATGAGCTTTATGTTCTGGTAACCATGGCAACATCACTGCTGAAACAGTTTACCACATCATATGTATATGTTTTGGTAATTGGCGGGACAATTTGGTGTCCTGATATAGAAACAAATGGATAGTGTGAATTATATAACAATTTAAGCTTGATCATATACAGTACATCAAAAAGAAATAAACACAGAAATAAATATATACACAAAATACAAACACACAGGGTTATTATATCATTATTATTTATTGCCGGTGTCTATATAAATCACACTCATTAAATAATGGCACTTACACACAGATTTAATAATTATTTAACCTGGTTAACCAGGAAAACCTTTTTTCTGATGTATGTGTAAGCTGTAAGAAAAACTAGTGGAAAACCCTAAAATATGCGTTAAATGATGAGTCCTTAGAGATACTAAATATGTTACTACCATGTCCTTTTATACTAGTTCATCAGCAGAGTTCCTTCTTATTTTTGGATGTTTTACCGTCTTTATATCCTTCTGTTGTATATCATCAGCTATGAAGTTTTCATTAAAAATATTATTATTTTCCAGACCTCATTGTGGAGATCATCACAGAGGACGAGGGAGAGCGGCTGCGAGCCCTCCTGCCCGGCCCCCCCGCTCCTCCTGCTGACCTCTGCCAGCCTCAGAACCACAGGCTGCTCCGGCAGAGCTCCTCTCCGTCCTCTCAGCCCGTGCTGGTGGCGAGAAGCACCGCGTGTCAGGTGAGAGATTAAAACACATCTTGTGGTGTGCTGTCAAACTGTGGTGTAGTCATTTGTGTTGTTTCTCAGTTATAGGTTTCCTTCATTTCCCAAAATGACTGTAGGCAACACCCAGAGTACTGGCTCAACTGCAAATGGGGCGACAACAGGCCTTTATAACACTCGGATAAAGTTAAATTATATACAATACAGACCTCTTATTATTAAATATTGTAAACACAGTTAGAGAAGCATAATGTTGCCTTAATGTCAAGACTTATTACTAATAATTTAGACCGTTAATAGAAAGTCTACCATTTTACTCTGTCTGCCAGACCAATGGCTTTTCCACAGCTTGTCCTTATCTAACATAGACTTCATTCAAAACAAATGGTCAGTTTCACAAACGTTATTATTCTTTAAGTGAAATATTGAGCAAAAAGAACATGGATATAAGTATTCCAGATTCTCAAACACACGTTTTTGTTGCTTTGTTTTTGTAATGTATCTGATTAGCCTTAAAGTATAGGAAAGCCTTCAGTTCACACTGTTACCTTGAGCTCTTGAAGCTTGATGTCAGTTCTCACAATTTTCTCTGACTATTTAAAGATTCACCAATTGACCAACTAAAGAATCTGCAGATTTACCGCTGAGAAAAAGTGTTTGTTGCACACCTAGAATATACCCACATTTTGTTTATGCAGCCACAAACAAATGTTTACACCTCAATGTTATTTAGTCCTTACTGCCCTTATGTTGATATTGAATATGCTTGTGAATAATAAACTGAACAAAAGAGGAAGCTCCATTCTGGCGTACTTATATTAGTGAAAAAGTATTTGTTGTATGGATTTAATGTTGGTGTAATTCACTGCAGTGTAGTACACGTGTAGCCTGCAGAGGGCTGGTTGTTGTTGAGAGGAATATTCAGGCTGCTCGGGCTCTTACCATAAAACACGTGGTTTACAGCTCTGAAGTAATCTGTAATCTGTAATCTGTAATCTGATGACACTGCTGTGAAGCTGTGGCAATCTCAGAGAGCTCTTAATGTAAGGCACAAGAAGACAGCATAAAGTCTTTATTAGCAAAGGATCTGCATGTGAAATTGCAAAAATGGGGGTTTTTGTATTCAAATAGTGTTTGTTAAGAGGGACTTGCAGCTGTGATAGAGGCTGACACACCTCCTCCGCATGCTTTTCTGTGGGAGGAGGCTGAGAGAGAGAGAGGAGGAGTGGATGGAAAAACTGTAATATGACTCCCTTTTTCTGTTTGACGTCCTTTCTGTTTACAAGCCAAACCCACCAAGGGGTGAAAGTTCACATTCTTCTTCCTGAGACGCTTCTTCAATTGGTCGATTGGTTGAGCTGACTTCCTATTTCCTGTTCGCTGCTCACTCTGCCAGGCTATTGTTTAGCTCCAGTGTTTTCAGGCTAACAGGTTTGGCCAGGCTTTGACAACAGACGTCTGTTTCTTGACCGGATATTGTGAAGCATGATCTCATGCTGAGGCATCACCCAGATCTCTGCTGCAGTTTAATGAGCTCTCAGCCTCAGTTTCTGCTTCACAGGTGACAGAGAAGTCAACTTCTATTCTTCTTTGTTCCC